GATAGACATTACAGAACAACATAATCAGTTTCTGCCACCATTGATCTTTATTATTGTATTGAATTTTAATAAATTTATTTAGTTATATTTATAATGTTAATATTTAATAAATTTAATTATTTGATGTTAGTTTCTCACTCTTGGTATTTGATAAGTGAAAATCGAACAATTTTTTTTTTATTTTTAGGCCAGAACTACCCGTTTCGATTTCAGAACGACCTGGTTCCATTTTTTATGTGCAATTTTTGAATCCAGAACAGCCCGTTCTGATCCATTTGTCATGTGTTATTTTTTAATCCAGAACGGCCCGTTCTGAAATCAGAACGGCTGGTTCTAAAACGTGAACAGTAAACGGTGCTAGTTGGGTAAAATTTTTTTAAAATAGTATTATTTGAGTAAAAAACTCTAAAAATGAAGGTGTCATGAGTTGGTAGTTACACAAATTTTAATGCATTCTTTTAATGTAATTAAAATAGATTTAAAAGAAAAAAGGTAATTTGAATATTTTCTTAAAATCTTAAAATGAGTGTGCCATGAGTTGGTAGTTACACAAGTTGTTGTGTCTTTTTAATTTCCAACTATTTATAGTCATATTTGTTTATTTTTTCATAATTTAATAGTTCAAACATTTATTTAAAAATGATTAATAGTGATTATTAAATTTATTTATTTATTTTCTTAATAATTAAGTATATAATTATTCATAATTTCTGAAAATGAATAATGGTTACGAGAATAACTATTTCTTTCATATATTATTATAGATAACGTTCTTGAAACTTTTAAATAAGATAATTTATATTATGTCAATAATAAAAACTCATTATATAAAAAAATATATTTAATATTAATTTTTAAATAATATAAAATACCTGATAAGATATATTTACTCTTTCTTTTCTATAAAAGGAAAAAAAAATTAAATTAATGAAAAAAATATTTTTATGTTTTAAAAGTCTAATTTTCTCCCTTCAGTAAAACAAAATATATTATTATTTATATTTTCTACCGACTCCGCTTTCTTCCCCGTATTATCATCTTTTATTTATTAAAATACCTTTTTTTTATATTCCAAATAATTTTTATGTGAGATAATTATTTTGGAGGCAAATAAGAATATTAAAAAAATCAAAACCATTTTTTTCCTGAGTATTAAATATTATTCTATACTCAGAATTCAAAATTAACACTACTAATTAAATTAAAATACTCTAAAAATTTTATGTTATGAATAATTCCAAATCCTCCTACAAGATCATCTTATTAATTCTTTTACATTTTTAAACGACAAATATTAAATGTATCTACTCTTTTATTTACAAAATACTAAGAATTTTTATTAAGGAATTTATAGAGAGATACTCCCTCTCACATATACAAACAAAAACACACATATATATAGTAAAAATACTTAAATTTACACATATTAATTTTTTAATTAAGTTTATATAAAAATTAATTTTTTTACTATTTAAACTATTTTTAATAATACTTATTGAAAACAATAATCATGTTTAATTTAAAGAGTATTTTTAAAATTATAACATTAAATATAGTTAAGTAAGTTAAAATTTATTTATATTTAAATTTAAAATTTTAGATTTTTTTTAACTTATATATATAAATGAAAAGAGGGTATATCATTAGTTGATTACTCAGCCAAAGATATAAAAAATGAGAAAGACATTTTTTTTTTCAGTGTGGGTCTAATTAATGAGGGTACGTGTTTGTTTTTCATCCGCACAAATCAGCCACGTGCCATTACGGTACTCTACGGTCTACAACTACGTGGTATCATCATATCTTATTACGTGTAGAACTTTTGATCTCGTGTAATATACTAAGAGTTAATTATGTGTAAAGTTTTTTACACAGAATTAATAATATCTTTTAAAGTTATTTATTTTATTATTATTTTATTAAATAATTAATTGATATGATATTATTAAAAGATATGATTAGTTGTTAATGTAAAAAAATTTACATTGATAGTGTATAAGTGATTAACTCATATATTAATATAAAATTCGTGATTCAAATTTTTGTTACACAATTTTAGTTTATTAATTTTATAAAATCATTTTCTTATTAAATTTTTATCTATTAATTATTAAAATTAAAATATTAATCATAAAATAATATTAAATAAATAATTTAATAATTGATATTTAAAAATATCTATATTAAAATTTACTTTTAATTTCATTTTTATCTCATAAAAATAATATAATATGATGAAAATTAAAATTATTTAATTTAAATTTTATTAAATATTAATTGTTATATCATCATGTGAATTCAACTGGGTAAAAATTGAAGACTGACAAGTCCAAAATCATATAATAAAAAAAAAGATTAATAGACTGAAATTTAAGTAGTTTGAGACTGAATAATTAAATAAGTTCATTATCTTATTTTTTAATGTAATTTTTATTTTATTAATTTTATTAATTTTTTAGGCTTCTTAATGGACTTTAATTGGTTAGTGAGCTAGTCAGGAGTCAATTCTAGTAGATATTAAGTGTTAGTGGGAAATTAGTAGAAATTTATGTTATCTTGTCCATCTAAGCTTATAAATAGGAGTCTTTTGTAAAAATTTTGGACAGAAAATGAATTATTCAAAATTTGGATATTTTTTCAATTGAGAGAATTTTCTCTCTCTAAATGCTTAGGAACTATTTTTTATTCTTATATTTGAATTTCCTAATTCAAAATGTTATCGATCTTTAGGAATTGTGGCGTTATTCCCTCTAGATTCATATCATATCATCTATTTAATATTAAATTATAATTAATATTGTAATTTTAATAATTAATAAATAAAATTTCAGTAGAAAAACTAAAATTAAAAGTTATATAAATTTTTAAAATTTAAATTATATAATTAAAAATAATAGTATCAAAATTACCTATACAATTTTACGGACTGAAAATTCAATTTAACAGAAAGACAATTATACGTGTGTTTGGAAATTGAAAAATTTTACACTCACAAACTTATTTTTTATTCATTAAAATATGTTTTTTTTTTTCTCTTTTAAATGTATTTTGAAACCGATATGACATAGGGTTCAAAAGTGAATTCATAAAAGACTAGGAACAATTTAGTCGAGAAGGATTTATTGTTTTCGCACGTGTGTCTGGTGGCCACACCGATTTAGTCGCACGCATAGTTCCTTTCTTCGTCTCGTCTCCCTCACATCGGCTTTCGCTTTCTCTCTCAGTGTTTCTCAGGTAACAGAAATCCATGTAAAATCTCTTTTATTTTGTTTTCCTGAACGCACACACTCGTTTAGCTTCACCATTTTATTTTATTTTTTTCATTTTTCCGTTACTTCAACGATTCATAGTTACGCCGATAAAACCGATGACAAATAACTGAGATGCATGTTTTTAATTTTTTCCTTATGCGATTTTGATTTGTGTTTTCTTCGCTTCCGCCATTCCTGAGATGGTAATAATTTTGGATTCACAGTTCCTAATAAGTGGAATTTTGAATAGAAATGTATTTCCCCCAATATTTTTTTAAATATTTAGTGGCAATCAAGATTGTGATCGAACAGAAAGAAAGTCAGTTGTGTACTATTTACTGCTTACTCCTCTTGATTTATTTCTGTTTATTTTGATTGCTGCCTTGAAGGGTTGTGTTGCCTTTCTACTTGAGAATGGAGTGTGTTATTTTTTTTTTTTTTGTTAACTGTGTTGATTTTTGTATTGTTCACTTACTTTGAACTTTGTAATCTGCATTTACCATTTTGATGCTGTCCCGAAGTAAAGTTGATACTTTATAAATATATTTTTGTATTAAGCTGGGCTAGTAATTTGTGGATTTGATTTTGACCATTGCGTTTTGTAGCAGATGCTTTGAACAATTATCTTTTTTTTATATTGCTATCTACATTCACTATTTTGATTCTGTTTTTGTATGAAAGCTTAACTAAACTCTGTATATTTACTATTTAGCTGGTTTAGTAAATTGTAGATTTAGAAACGATGTTGTGCAGTGCAGGCTTTGCAAATTTCATGTTCAGTTATCATGAACATTGTAATGTACATATACTGTTTGATTCGGAAAGATTGATTCCTTCTAAAAGATGTTTTGTGTGCATATTACTATTCGGCTTGCGTAGTAATTTGTGAAGTCATTGTAAAGAACACCCTGCTAGCAAGTAACTTCATTGTTTTGTTTTCATTGGATGTTTGACAATAGATCAATGGGTGTTAACTACTGTTACTATTAGTATGTTAGGATGATGGAATTGGATTTATAGTTAAGAATTATAGATTTTATGTATGGGTTATGCAAAGAATTAGAACTATATATGCAATTTCAATTCTATTGTGTAATGATAAGATCTAAAGTTTGAAAATAGTTATGATTATGAGGGCAGTGGTGGAAGTGGTTGGCAGAAGCAGGAGTGGTGGCAGGGTGGTGGTAGCATGGATAGAGTGGTGGTCGTAACACTGGTCAGTGTTGGTGATGATAGAAGAAGACAAGCAGTAGTGGTGGCAATAGAAAGAGGATGCTATTCTTAAGTCCAAGCCCTTTTTGTTCCCAAAAATCGTTACCTATTTGATAAAACCCCTTTTTGTTCCCAAAAATATTCTCTAGTCTTTTGGAGGGGAAGCTATTCTCACAGCCAAGTCTCTCATAAATCATTTGCCTAGTTGTGTTTCAACTTGATTTACACACTTAAATTAAAATTGTCCTTGAGTTCTTTTTTGTTTCATTTATTCATGTCTCTAATTAAAGAATGTTGCATTTTGATAAGAAGCTTGGGAGAACTACACCACTAAAGCTAATCATTGTAGTTGGAGAGCTAAAGGCCCTTTAAATTAAATCCCACACTAGGATCCCATACTTCTAATGTGGGACTTGAGTCCTATACCTTGCAATTGGATTCTAACATCTCACCGTGCTTTACAACCTTGACACCCATGCGGGGTAGCTTAGTGGCCATGCACTAGCTCTTTGACTTGCCTTGGGTGAACCATGAACGTTGCAATTTTGACATCATCTTCCACACTGTTTGTTTATAACTGAGAGACATGGTAAAAGGCATTGATACCAATTAATAAGATTCTTGGGAGAACCATATCACAGAAGTTAGTTGTTGTAGTTAGAGGGCCCAAGGTCTTGTAAACCTCACACCAGAATCTCATACTTTCAATGTGGGACTCAAGTCCCATACCTTGAAATTGGATGTAACACATTCCATGAATAGGAGCCTTTTTTTACTAAACCCATGTTAATCTTTTACTTAACATCCCAAGGAAACACTCAGAAAAAATACTCTGTTCAAGAGAAACTAGTATTTCAGGCAACTGGTGCTAATTATACCAAATCAGTAGTCGATAGAAGAAAACTTCAGGATATTGCACCTTTGAAGAATATTGTGACATGGAGGAGTAAAAGAAGAATATGGTAGCAAAGTTTTGTGCAGTGGAAAAATTTCATGCTACGGCACAGGGTGCATGTAAAATACTTCAGATCATTCTTGAAGATTGGATGATCCAGAGGGTCGGATCTAGGAGACTCTATTGAGACAGAAAACCTGCAATTAACATAGCTTATAGAATAAAGTTTGTTGAAGTTGAAAGACATGTTGTTAAAGAGAAGTTAGAAAGTGGGTTAACTTGCTGATTATCTCATCAAAAGTTGAGTAGTACACTATTCTAGAATTTTTATTTTGCCCAGCTAGGAAAGGAGAATTCCTATTCACTAGCTGGAGGGGGAAACCATGCATAGTCAGCTGGGACATCCCACAAATAATGGGATTTAACCTTTAATTCATTTCCTATTCTACTGTGGTTTCTCATGTATATAGTTCACCATTGATGTATATATTATTCAGTATGAATGTAATCCTTATTTTCTAAGTTCTAATAGGAAAATATAGCAAAATAAACAGCTTGTTATATATGCAGTTTTTCTGATAATGTTTGTGGCTTTTGGCAACATTTTGCTTAGATTCTTCCTCATTTAGGATTTTAAATCAAAATGGAGGATTCTCTTAGTAGAGTTCAGCTTAAAACCATAGTTTAAGTGACCTTTTTACATAAGAGAAAATATATATCCAGTATTCCAGTTTAACATTCCCTAATATTGTTATTTTGATACTTAGCTGATCTGAAACTCTATGCAATAACATTGAGCTTTGTGTGATTTTTAAATAATAAATAGGGGCCTTCGACATCTTTGGTAGGGTTCGCGTCTGTATATTTTCTTTATATTGGTTGTATTGTAGTTTTTAGTAAGCTTGAAATTATTGTCCCCATCAATTGAGCTAGGTAAGTGCATATTTTAAGTTCAGGTGGAGAAACCAGCTAATATGAAAATGGTTTCAACTTCTTGGATTGGTTGTGAATGTAGTTCTTAATAAACCCTTGTAAGTTGTAACTACTAGCAATTGTTATTAGGGACTACAATGGTTGTTATAGTGTATAGCTGTGTCCTGGTGTGGTGCCTGTTGTAGTAATGCATTTAGCTTTTACAATAGAAGAACAATTTTGCTGTGTTTTTCTGGACAGGCCTAACTGTTCCTTGCAACATTTTTTGTAGGAGTTTGTGATCTAAGCATAAAGATGGAGCTGAGTAGCATCAAAGATGCATTTGATCGAGTAGCCAAGAAGCAAAAATTATCCTCTTCCAAGTCTCAAGAAGTTATTGACCAGCTCGGGCGTGAAATTGAGCAGGCATTGGCTACAATTCAGTCATCGCATGACCCTTCCACACTTGTTGACCAAAAAGCAATTCTCACAGAACTCAAGTTTAAGCTTAATGCTGTTGGACCACTTCAACAGTTGGAAGGATCAAATAAGGAGTTGAACGTAAGTCTTACCAAGTATCAAAAACTCCTTGAAAAAATGTTAAATCCTGACATATCAAAGGCATACAGAAATGTGGAATTTGATACTCATATTATCAATCAGATCATTGCAAACCACTTTTACCGTCAAGGTTTATTTGATCTTGGAGACAGCATCATAAATGAGGCTGGAGAGCCTGATGCAACTGCACTAAGATCTCAATTCTTGGAAATGCATCAGATTATTGGAGCTATGAGGGATAGGAACCTTCAGCCTGCTCTCGCATGGGTCTCTGCTAATCGAGAGAAACTTGTTCAGATTGGTTCTAATCTCGAGCTTAAGATTCACACACTGCAGTTTGTAGAGGTCTTGCAAAATGGAACCCGAGCTGATGCCTTAAAATATGCCCGAACTTATCTTGCTCCTTTTGCTTCCCTCAACAAGGATGAGTTCCAAAAGCTTATGGGTTGCCTCTTGTATGCAGGAAGGCTAGAGAGCTCCCCTTATTCTGAGTTGATATCCCCAATTCATTGGGAGATGACAACTGAAGAGCTTGCGCGGCAGTTCTGCACTCTATTGGGGCAATCCTATGAGAACCCACTGAGTGTAGCAGTTGCAGCAGGAGTTGAGGGGTTGCCTACACTGTTAAAGCTGGCAAATGTAATGGCAGCAAAGAAGCAGGAGTGGCAGGAAATGAAACAGTTGCCGGTTCCAGTAGAATTGGGTAAGGAATTTCAGTTCCATTCGATTTTTGTTTGCCCTGTGAGTAGGGATCAAGGAAGTGAAGAGAATCCTCCGATGCTGCTGCCATGCTTACATGTCCTTTGCAAGCAATCAATCATGAAGCTATCAAAAAACAGCAATCGAACATTCAAGTGTCCGTATTGTCCAGCCGAAGCTTCAGTTGCACACTGCAGACAGCTGTATTTCTGATCGTGTTTGTGTACTTCTCTTCCATACCCTTCATTTGTGTAATACAGCATTTACAGCTTTCTGGTTGTATATAAATATTCTGAAATATCTTTTATATTTGATAAGACTAATGAGTGAATAAAAATTGAAAGAACCTGTCTATAACCAGGAGCTCTGTCTATTCTACCGTTCTTGCTTTTCTGTCTTAACAGTTATGCAGTTGCTTCCATAATCTTACTGGTATAAACTTGTATGATATGATGGCGTACGGCTGTGTATATTATGTAATGGTTATTTGTCTTGATAATTGGGTTTTACTCTATGCCAATTTGAAATTAGCCTAGATAGAGGCGATTTCTTGGACTAACTTTCGGTCAGTCATGTTTCACAGCATGGAATCATTCAAAGCGTTAGTTAATGGTAACCGATTTTGTGACATACAGAGCGGTCAGACAGAGTAGCAGTGGTTTTTTAACTCTATCCGCCCCTACTGATCAAGAACTATTCCACAGTAGATGAATTTTGATCGATATGTCCTTAACATTTTGCGGGTTAATTTAAGATCTCTTAAATTTAAAAAGAAATTACTTCTCCAAAATAAGTAAATTTAGACAAACTTAACATCTTCATAGTTAATTTCCTATAAGTTCTTAAATTGGTTTTTTCTTCTGGACTACAACTGGATTAAGAAACCTTTGGGTATGCTTGTATCGGTAGGTTCCTTGTTCATTGGTTACACTACTACTTCCGATGTAACCTATAAAAAATAGATGGTTAGAGATTAGAATATATGAACATGAACTAAAGCGGGTACACGTGATTCAATTCAATCCAGCGAACCAGATGACAGAATTTCCACCATTAGAAATCCTCACCATGAGAGGCCTAGCCTATTAACGGGATTGAGATCATTTCCGATAACCCTTCAAAATTTGTTGCATAACAAAAAATAAACAAACTTAAAAAAATGTCATCCATGGGATCACAAGTGCAGGAAATGCATTTCTTGTATGATTGCTGACAGTACTAGTTATTTTTCTGCTAATTTTGTAAAATAAAAAATACAGAGAGTAAGTTTCTACTGAAAGCCAATTATTCTGTTGAGTCCGGAAAAGAGGAAAGAAGAAGCAGAAGACTTGGGTGGCGGTGCGTTCCCCTGTCTTATATATTCCTCCAACATCTCTTTGGTAGACCTCGCGGACAAGGGATGAAAATGTGCACCCCACCCAGCGAGAAACCCTTTCACTAAGACCCATTTCTCGTCTTCCTCCATCTTGCTCCATTTCTGTTGGGCCTCGTCTTCGTTCAGGCCCATGTACTCGCACACCTCCACGAAGAGGAGCTTTCTGCTCTTCCGCATGGCCTCCTCCGCCTTCACCACATGGGCGTTGATTCTCGCCGCCTTCACGGCCAACTCCGACGCCAGCGCTGCGTCGCTGATGCCGCCGCTGCCGCCGGTGCACGAGACGCGGGTGGCAAGTTTGTGAGAGAAGAGAGCGACGGGCGAGGCGGAGAAGAAAGGGGAATTGAGGTGAATCTTGAGAGCCATTGGATGGATTGGATTGGATTGGATTGGTGTTTTTTTTTGTTTTGGAGTGATCAAATTGGAGCTCTCCGTAACAACTAACAAGCCTACAACAAAATAAATTACTGAAATTGGAGCTCACCATCAAACCCTTTTTGATAAACCGTAAAAAATCACTTCCAATTTCCATGCATTCATTGTATTTTTATTTATTTTTATCACAAATATTATTTTGTTTAAGAGTATAAATGACAAAATAAAAATTATAAATATAATTTATCATATTATATTCATATGATTAGATAATAAGAAATGCTAGATGTGTTGGAGCCTAAAGATGAAAGCTGAAAGTGAGTTATTTCAGGGGTAGGGCTCCTCTAGGTGTTAGTAAAGAAAGCCATTGGAAAAATAAGCAACAATGTTGTCATGGAAAGGCATTATTTATAAATAATGTATAAAGGAGTTGATTTCTTTCGTCTCTAATTTTTGTAATAGATATTTACACTCTTTTATTATATTTTAATCTTTTACGTACTAATATGTTATTTAAGAGTTATATACAAAAAAAATGTATACAAAATAAATAATTATTCATTCAATTAATTACTCATTTATTTTATAATCACTTTTCATTTATATTTTTGTTTAAAATTATTTTATTTTTTATTAACTAAATATTACTTATATACATACATATACATTATTTCACTTGATTTGTATGTTATAACTTCAATTATTTTATTGGATTAAATCCTGAATTTTTTTAATCAATTTTTGTTTTTAGTCCTTGAATATTTTTTTTAATTAATTTTAGTCTTTAAATTTTTATCAATTTTTATTTTTAGTCCTTAAACCTTTTCTTCTATTAACATTTTAGATTTTATGTAAAAAAGATTTATTCATAAGAGATATTTTAAGGCCTAAAAGTAAATAAAATTTGTTTAAAGATTAAAAATAAAAATTAACAAAAATTCAGAAATTAAAAAATATTTAACTCTATTTTATTTTAAACTAAATTTATAGATACAAGATGCTTTTTTTTATTAGAGTAAATAATGATAATCCTAATATCAATAAATAATCCAGTAAAAAAAATCCGTGAGCAGATAATGCCGAAATGGTAATCAAATTAAAATATTGCACATACCGCGAGATTAAATAGAAGAATCATATAAATAGTCAAATACCTAATTTAAAATGCATGTTACATTTACATTTCCTCCATTTCTTTATCAAAGTCACTTCTAATGTGTTTGGATAAAATATTTCTCGAATTTCAATATACTATAAATGAGAATTTTATATTTTTAGAATTCATATTCAATTGAAAATTAGATCATTAGGGTTAGCCTAATGGTTGGGTGGGGAGGAGTTAAGATAATTAGAAGCATGATGACCTAGATTCAATCATCGTTGCAGTGATCTTTGTAATTTTTCTTATATTTACAAAAAAAAAATATTCAAATTCAAACATACCTTTTTTTTTCTTTTGTAAATAAAAGAAAAAAAGTAAGAATTATATTTCCTCTCAAAACTTATTGAGAAGGCGTTTTGAATTTTTTCTTTTCGCAATATTTATTTAAACTTATGAAAATAATATATATAATAATAATTTTAAAGTTATTTGAATAAATTATGTAGTTAAGTTAACTCTTATTAAATAAGTCGAAATTGAAAAGATTTTATTTATATTTAACAAAATTATTCATGACAATTTTATAAATAGCACCTACTTATTCTAATAACTTTTGCCACAAAATTATTAGTCCGTAAAGTCATCTTCTCTCTTAAATAATTCTTAAACTAATAAAATTATTAGTAGTTATTAAGCTAAACATGCCTATAATAGCGAGTAAAGAAATTTAACTCAAATTTACAAACAAGGCGGTCCTTCAAGTCCTATTAGAGCGGCAGGAACAGTCACAGAACATGAGCATGAACATCAGGAGTATGATGGCAGTAACTGTAAGTTGCAGCATCTCAATGTTGTCACCATCTTCTCCTTCTTCACTTCGCGCATTTCCACTCCTTTCTCCTCCTTCCGCTCTCTGCTCCTTCTCCGGTACCTCCCAACACTTTCCTTTTCCTTTTCTTTCATTCTCCACGCAAATTTTACTTGCGCTACTTTTTCTTTTAAAAACACGTTTAGCTTACATTCTGTTATAGGAATAGAAGATCTACCGATGCAGTGTTCAAATAGTTAGGGAAAAAAGTTTGAATAATTGCAACCGATCAATTTCCTTAACGATAATTATCACGCTGTTTGTTGATCTAGACTTCCTGCAATGGTTCTTGTTCTAAACGTGCTTCCCTGTGCATAACTCGTTATTTAGTGAATTATTGGTAGTTTGGATTACTTGTGATAACGAGTTTTTTATTGGTCGATTGTTGATATCATTTTGGATCTCAGAGGGATTCTGATATGTTACTTTTATTTCCCGTCCTGTTCTGTTGCGTGAATGTTTACTAGGTTTGTCAGAGACTATGGATTGTGGTGGTGGTCCATGTGTGTTTCCGTTGAACCGTTGCAAAACTGTTCACCTGGTTGGTATTGAAATTGAACTCTCTTTTTTAGTCAACACACTGTATCCGGTGTTGACTTGAAGTTGCTATGTAAATCAAGGCATTGCCAACTTATAAAACCCATACGTCCAGGTCAGGCATGGACAGGGGATCCACAATGTAGAGGGTGATAAGAACTACAATGCATACATGAACCCTGAATATTTTGATGCACATCTTACTCCATTAGGCTGGCAACAGGTAAAGCACGACAGCTTATTGTGTGAAACGTGTTTAGAAGGGATAAGCTTACATGAGTTGTGAACTTGTGATAGTTTAGAGATGGAAAAGATTGTTTGGTCTCATGAATCGTGAGTGTGTGATTATCTTTTGCTGCTGACAGGTTGACAATTTGCGTAAGCATGTTCATGATTCTGGCCTTATGAAGAGGATTGATCTAGTCATAGCATCTCCTTTATTGAGGTATCTACATTCAATACCTTTGTGCTGCTTTAGTGGTGACTCAAATGCTTTATATGATTGAGAAACTGTAGTCTCTATAATTCTTGAAAGAGTAGCTTTGGCATGCTTTTTCTTTCTTTTCCTTCATGATTGGCTTAGACCTCCTTCAAGTTTTCTGGCAACTGTTTTGGGTTTGGAAACGCTGCACTATTTTGCAATGGCTGAGAAAGGTATTCTCTGTTTATGTTTGTTGTATGATGTATTTGTATCTGCAACTTGATCAGCTTTTATTGATGATGAATGTGATGGACTATGGTTGTGTCTGACTACTGACAAGCAACATCAGATGGGCAATCTTTAATTGCTCATTTTGAACATTGGTGTGCCTAAACCATGCTGATAAAACTTGTGCAGCAAGTCCATGTATCTCATATATTATCTTTACAGGTAGAAATTACTGCTGAAAAATATAATTGCTGGCTAATTAAATGGGAAATATTTTTGTCTTGGAATCAATTCAAGAAAGTGTTCTCTATGTATGTGCTACGTTGGTCAGATGGCAACTTATGTTATCAGAATTTAGATTATCCATCTACATCTGTGAACCCAGTCATCACTAAGTTAAAAGTCTCTCCCTCCCCACAGTTTATGGAGGGAAAGTGAATTTCTTTAGTATCAAATCAAAATTAATAGTGCATTGGTTATTTGGATTAATGGTGCTTCATTTATACATGTTTATTCATTTACTGTGCTAACTCTTTTCAGTTATGCAGTGTCCTCGTGAATGAGGTTGCATTAGTTGATAAAAGCTGAGTTTGGACATCATCCATATTAGGGTTTTGCAAGCTATCCATATTCTGGGTTTATGTAGTTTATATTGGATTGTTGTTCTTATGAATTGATTGAAATGACCTACAATGTAAGGTTTTAGGACTCTACAAACTGCTGTTGGGGTGTTTGGAGGTGAGGACTACACAGACAGAACAGATGTGCTACCTCTTATGGTGGCAAATGCTGGAAACAGCAATCGTGCTGCAATTTCAAGTCTGAATTGCCCACCAATTGTTTCTGTTGAACTTTGTCGGGAACATTTGGTATGCCATTTTATAATTTGAACATCTTTTTTATTTATTGATGCATGACACTCTTCTAGGAGATGATCTACATGGGCATGGGCATGTTTTATCTTGGTAATAAAAATATTTTCTCTATCAAGATAATGCCTGCAAAGGTCAGAAAATTCATATCCTGTACTTAAAAAAGGCGGAAGGAAAAGTTCAGAATATTGTTACTTCCAAATCAATAGAATTTTTCCTACATCTTATGTCATGCACTGAGATTGAAGGATGAGCAAGTCTTTTAAATTCAGGCTTACTTGCCAATATGACAGACAGATGTCCTTTTTTCCTTTTTAAAGATCTTGCTTAAATAATAGGTTATTTATGTGCAGGTTTGGAAAATATTAGGGAATATTGAAAATACACTAGATTGCCATGAGAATTGAGATGTTGAACTTTAGACACACTACAGAGAGTGTCAGCAAACATTGAGGCTTGTTTCTTGTGTGTGTCTAATGCTATACTCCCTCTTCCAGACTGAAATATAAGTAAAAAAGAATGATTCAAACTTGTTAAGGAAATTAATTAACATCGTTTAATTTTACTAATCTCATTTAAAATATGAACTTCTTTCCTAACAAACCTTTATTGGAACTTAATATCAAGAATAAAAATGAGTCCTTGGAAATAACATTTAAATTAAATGAAGGGTATTTTAGGGGTAATATCATTAAATAAGATAAAGTTAGTTAAAATTTGTTTATATTGTAGTTTGAATATGTTGAGAGAAATGGTAAATGCAATGAACATTTCCTTGTGTATTGCAAAATGAAAGATATGTTTATATACAAAGTAATGGGCCTAAGCCCATGTGGTCAAACTATATCTAACATTCCCCGTCAAGCTGGGGTATATAGATCATATGCACCAAGCTTGTTACAAATATAATCAATTCTAAGACCCCGTAATGATTTGGTGAAGACATCTGTCAACTGATTAATAGAGTTAACAAACTGAGTAGTAATATCCCCTTCTCTCATCTATGTTCAATTAGGTCATCCTAGCCTTGTCAAGCTTCAACACCTTGTACCACGTCTGTCTAAGTTGTCTCATTTGTCGTGTGAGTCGTGTGTCAATTACGCAAACATAGTCGTAGTTCCTTTTCTCGGAGTGTTCTCAACTGAGCGTTGTCTCCTTTTGCTTTAGCTCACTCGGATATTTGGGGGCCGAGTCGGGTTAGGTCCACTTTAGGATTTTAATATTTTGTAACTTTTATTGATGATTACTCTCGATGTACTTGATTATTTTTAATGAAAACTCGATCTGAATTATTTTCCATATTTCAATCTTTTTATAATGAAATTCAGAATCAATTTGGTGTTTCTATTCGTACTTTTCGTAGTGATAATGCTCGTGAATACCTCTCTCACTCCTTTCAAGCCTTCATGGCTTCCCATAGTATTCTGCATCATACATCTTGTGCATGTATCCCTCAACAAAATGGGGTGGCCAAGCGCAAAAATAGACACTTAATTGAGACCACTCGCACCCTTTTACTTCATGGTCATGTTCCTCAACCTTTTTGGGGTGATGTTGTTCTCACTGCATGCTATCTCATCAATCGCATGCCATCTTTTGTTCTCAACAATCAAATACCTCACTCTATTTTGTTCTCCAATGGCCCAATCAACCTCTCCACCTTCTACCTTCTTGCGTCTTTGGATCTACTTGTTTCGTTCATAATCACAGTCCTGGTCTTGACAAACTATCCGCTCGGTCTCACAAATGTGCTTTTTTAGGGTATCCTAGGTCTCAAAAAGGGTATAAATGTTTCTCACCCTCCCTTCGTCGCTATTTAATTTCGGCTGATATCACCTTTTCTCGAGTCTTCTTTCTACTTTCTTTCTACTTCCTCTTCTTCTGCACCTGTCCTTGCCCCTTCACCCACCCTTCTTGCCTTTGATACTCCTCCTGTGTCTGTTGTGTCACCTGATCCACCACCTCCGCCTCCCCTTCAAGTTTATCATTGTCAGCAATGCTCTCGCCTTCCTACTGGGCCCCTTACCGACTCTACTCCGGTGCCACCACTTTCGTCCCCTCCGGCCCAACCACCTGAGTCCGACCTCCCAATTGCCCTCCGGAAAGGTAATCGTTCTACTCGAAATCCTTCCTCTCATTATATTAATTTGAGTTATCACAGGTTATCCTCTTCCTAATATACTTGTCTTTCTTCTATTTCCTCTGTGTCTATTCCTAAAACTGTAAGTGAAGCCTTAGCCCACCCTAGTTGGAGACAAGCCATGATTGATGAACTGTGTGCTCTTCAGAACAATGGTACCTGGGATCTTGTTTCTTTGCCTCTTGGGAAGTCTGTGGTTGGATGTCGATGAATCTTTACAATCAAGGTTGGTCCTGATGGCACCATTGATCGCCTCAAAGCTCATTTGGTCGCCAAAGGTTATACTCAAATTTTTGGATTAGACTATGGTGACACTTTCTCTCCCGTTGCCAAGATGGCCTCTGTCCGATTATTCTTAGCCATGGCTGCTCTTCGCCGTTGGCCTCTCTACCAACTAGATGTTAAAAATGCCTTTCTTCATAAGGATTTGCTAGAGGAAATTTATATTGAGCAACCTCCTGGGTTTGTTGCTCAGGGGGAGTCTTCCGATTTGGTATGTTATCTCCGCAAATCACTTTATGGTCTTAAGCAGTCTCCAAGGGCATTGTTTGATTGATTTAGTACCGTAGTCCAACAATTTGGTATGACTCAAAGTGAAGCTCTGATACCATGTTGTGAGAAATGGTAAATGCAATGAACATTTCCTTGTATATTGCAAAATGAAAGATATGTTTATATACAAAGTAATGGGCCTAAGCCCATGTGGTCAAACTATATCTAATAGAATGGAAATGGGTAAGAAATAGGGTGAATAGAGTGGAAATAGGATAGTGAAAATAAGTGAAGTTGTTTGGTTGAGGAGAAATAAGAGTGTGAAAAATTAAAAGGTGGTGGACTCCACTCTCTTATTTATTTATATTTATTTATTTCTCTCGCCTCTCTCTTATATGTACCTTATTTCTAACCTATTTCTTTTCAATCAAGCAACTAAATTTCTACTCTATTTCTTACCTATTTCTACTCACTTTTTATTTCTCTTCACTCTATTTCTCACCTATTTCTTTTTCTCTCAACCAAACACACACTAAATAAGATAAAATCAGTTCAAATCTGCTTATATTGTACTCTGAATGGAGTAGCTATTATTATTATTTTAAGAATAAATAAGGTTTATGTCTATGAGTTCCATGCCATGTATTATCACGAGGCAAGTCCAAAATCTCAGCTTCTTTCGTAAGCTAAGCCATAATTAATCTACCACTTTGTAGTTCATTATGTTCATACAGTCAGCAAACCATTTACATTTTTAATTGCATACAAGCTTTATGGCATTCCT